ATCATAATCTTCCTAATTTATCTCCATAATTAGAAAGTCAAAATTCTCCTTGAAATCAACTTGAATCTTCTTCAATCTTCAAACTGGGTGCGACATAGGATAGCATAATATTCTAGAATATTATGCACATAAAATATATCAATTAAATCCAACTTTCCAGCTTGTCACAGGCGCGATGTCGAATGGCTCTTCATAGGACATCTTCATTTAACATGTCTCTCTGATGATGAAACATGTTAGTTCAACACTTTTGAGTTCTCCAACTTGAACATAACATATAATTACCAAATATTTCTATAAAGATATATATTTGTAACCCACTCACAGAATCCAAACATCCAATTATGCCAGACAAGATGTCAGATGATCATAATGAGACATCTTGTTCGACATCTAGTTTTACCAAAACTAGTCAAACCTTTAGAGCTCAAGTCTTTGGAGCTTTAAATATCCCCCTTTAAATCTCCAGAAACCTTTGGTTGAAGCTCCTATTCATATTCATCCGAACCAATCCATGATGATTTGATATGATCAATCCAGAAACATTCCTCACAGGGCTGAAGATACTCCGCCTTGATCCAGAACCCTTCCTTTCAAGGGGTGGAATAGGAGAACCAAGTGGCGTAAGTAGCAACCACCAGTCAACCTAGGGTATCTCACTTTTACTCCTGGATAACTTCTAACACAAGACACAACTGTGTTCATAACTCAGATCACAAGACACAAAAGGACCCAACAATACCAAACTGGAATAGGACATTATATTCTACATCTTTGTAAAATAACAACAAATACAAAAATCTGACTTAACAACATTTGAGAAATACTTATCTCCCCCTTTTTGGAAAAAAATTAACAAATAAATCCCTCACAAAACCAGACCCAAAAGGTACTTATCCATACCCAAACAAAATACATATGGACTTATGTGAACATCAAGCAACCACAATGTGAGAGAAAGAGAAGGAATGACCTCAATAATTACCCAAGTAATGGCATAGGAATTAATAATTCTAGATAGAGCCAGTGGTCTCAGTCAAAAATGTTAGTTGATGAAAATAACCAAAAAAAAGGCACCTTTCAAAACAGCTTTTGACTGCCTTCATTGACTCTGGACTAAGTCTTTTGGAGATATTTATTTCAAATAAAATCGCATGCATAATCAACAAGCACATTTTACACTCCCTCCTGACGTGAATAGATTGCACTGTCCATGCTATTTCCTTGTAAGTCATAGGGGAAGAAGTCCTACATAATATCCTGACATCCAGTCAGATGTTTATTTTTGAACATGGCTTCTTTACCAACCAGAGACGATGTTTCACAGGGTTATCTACACATTTTGAAGAAAGATTCCACAGACCAAGTTATTTGAGCATCACATGGTGACCTATCTTATCAACAACTGAACCAACCGGCAGAACAATCATCGAGAGAAAATCAACAAAGTCGCCATTGAATGTTTTTTATCCCACGGGAATGGAAAGGTGAACATCGAGTAAACCTAAGAAGGTTGAAATCACGATCAAAAGACCGAGAGATACGGGTAAGAGAGTCGATTACACAAGGGGAAGGTGTTAGAACCCCTCAAGCACGTGGTACTCCACATGATCAACTCTTGTTGTTCTAATCAAAGGGTGTGTTCTAATCTAAAGTTAAATCTTATGAGCCAAAGGAAAAATGCAAAGAGGGAATGCATGCAAAAGAAAACACGAGAAAAGAAGGAATATTTACAAAGTTTCTCTCGCCTGGGCCCCACAACCAAATGCCTACATATCCCTTTTAAGGAATCATAACATTGTTGTTCGGATCAATAGTTTCCGTTTGTTTTGTGTTTTTTATGGATAATGCTGCATTCATATCCTTATGATTAGGATTGCAATTTGTGTCTGGCATTGCAGCTCGTAAAGAGAATCATGCTCGGCCCCTCGCTCACTTAGCATTTCCAAGTTGTTCGAATTTGAAACAACACATCCTTATTGAAAAGGTTTTAAAAGAAAAAAAGGTCTAAAGACAAAAAAAGGTTTGCATTGGTTTGTACTTTTTTATTGCAAAAGAATTTGCAATTTGAACCGTAATAAAGTTCGAAAGTTAAAATAGAGCGAGGCTCAGTATAAACTAATTTGCTCCACCCCACAAGACTCAATTCCACATGATTTGTATCTTCCTTTATTAAGTGTTTTAGAATTTTCAAAGAAAAAGAGGTTTTAGTTTTAAGAATACAAAAAAAAGAAAGAAATCATCTAAGGAAAACTATCTAGCTCCATCCCTAATGTTATCATGCAATGGTGGTCCTAAGGTCCTGATAACAAAGGGAAATCTCTACCTAAGTTAGCATGCAAAGATTACAACCTAATGTCCAACTTGAATAAAAAACGAGACAAGAAATTCTAATGGAACATGCAAAGTTTACAACCTAATATCCAACTTGAATAAAAAAGGAGGCAAGAAATCCTAAGGGATCATGCAAAGGTTACTTCCTAAAGAAAAGCAGAAGCATAAACACAATCAAGCAAAGTCAAAGCAAAATCAAAACAAACATCGGGTGCAAGCTAGTAACAAAAAAATGAGTCCAAAGGATCTCAAAGTGGGAGTAAGAAAGTCTTTCCACTTTATTTGCTCGAGCACCGGTATCGAGTAACAACTCGGAGCATCAACGTCAAACAATGTGAGCTAACATTGTCAAAACAAATGACAAAGCGTGGGTGGGGGGGGGGGGGGGGGGGGGGGTTAGTTAAGGACCCATGTCTTCAACTTTTACGACTAAATAAGAAGAGTAAGCATGGTTTGGAGCATCAATATACAACGCGATCTAGGAAGGACACAAACTAGAATGTGTGGGGGTCGATTGCGGACCCTCTGTTCCACTTGTTGACTTGATAGCAAGCATAATTTAAAAAGGAAATGGAAATGCCTACTTTGAGGAATTTATCATAAACACTTCCTTTTGAGGTCTTTAAACAAACAATAAAAAGTCGCTCCTTTTGGAGTCTTTTACAAACAAAAACATCGCCTCATTTTGAGAACTTTGACATAACAAACATCGCCTCACTTGAGGATTTTAAACATATTTCCCACCTAATGTAGGGACTTCCAGTCATGTATCTCTATGCCTACTTCTCATAGCAAGGAAAAGAAAATGTGATGCGGAAAAATAAACCAGAATCAGTATAATACCAAAAGAACAAGAGTTCGTAGCAAGCAAGCAAAAGCAGAATAACTCCGGAAAAACTTTGAGCAAGCTTCACCAAGAAACCGTAAAAAAGTCAGAAATAATATCCAATATAAGTATCAAATGTTTCAACGCGAAAATAATTCGCAAGAGGATAACAGCTCATCCAATCAAAAGTACCTGCATAAAACAATTATACATAACCAAGCAAAATCCAAACGTAACATGTCGCACGACAAAGGCCTCTAAAAGCTTGCACAAGTCACAAACCGAGTTAGCAATTAACAAGGCAACATAAACTAAGCTCAAATGTTGAAACAAAACTAAAAAAAATAGTGAATTACAAAGGAACCAAGTCCAAACAAGCATCCGCAAGTAAAAAAAATCTGTGCAGCAACATTGTTATCTCATGAACCACACAAAATAATGATTTAAAACCAACGAAACTCGATACAAATGTCAAGACAAGTTCGCTTAACCATGAATCAACAATTAAATCATACTTGAAGCTCAAATTACAAAACCGGGAAGCATGGTATCACTTCATGTAATTACTCAAATTATCACGTTAAAAGCGAGAAAACTCAACAACAATTGTCAACAATTGAACAATTAAGCACAAACATGCATTATATCAATATCAAATCGCAACGTACATGTTAAATGGAAAACCAGAAAGCATGTATCATTACACGAAATGCACAAAAAAGTCAGATCAATACCGAATAAACTTGATGCTAATGCTAAACCAATGTCCGATTAAACTCAATTATGCAGTGTTCAAGAATTAAGACCGAAATATGCTACCATTTAAAAATTCCGGAGAGCAACACATCAACATCATAAACCGCAAAAAATGTCAATTCAAAACCAACGAAACTCGAAATAAATTTCATCCAAACATCAAAGCAACCTCACTTGCACTTTAAACCACAATTAAATCACATTCCAAGTGTATTTTCATAAACCGGACAACAATACACCGTTTCACAAAATTACTCGGAAAATCATACAAGAACCAATAATTCTCATCACTAATGATCAACAAATGCGCAAATGATTTCAAGTAAGCATCAAACGATATTTTAAATGCCATTTGTAAGACACTTGTATTTTCCAGGCAAGAACACATACTTGAATCGGTATCGATCAAAGTCGGATTTAAAAATTACAAATGAATACGAAAATATGTTCACCGATTCAAGTTATGTCACTTAGAAAATAAAAATGCTTACAATCAATTAATTCACATAAAAAATGTTCCAAGCTTCCAACAAAATAATTCAAGTGTTGATACAATAAATTGAATCAAAAGTTTCAATGTCGGAAAAAAAAATTAAATCTTCACCAAATCGATTCAAAATAATGCATTAACACATGAAATTCAATAATCCTCAACAAACATTTGATCCGAAATGAAATCGACATGCAAGCATCAAGTAATCATGAACAAAAAATTATTCGACGTGCAAGAATTATCGAATCCACATAATTATCATCAATTCAACATAGATCTATCCAACACCACATTTATTCATCATCATCAACATCAATTAAACTCCAATTTCTCAAGAATTAGAATAATATTCAACTCATAAATTCAATTAAGCACTAAAACTAAAATCAATTATCAAGATACACTTAATTCTATTGGAGATTCAAGAAATTACCGAAGCAAAAATGGACCGGATATGAATATAGAGATGTTGGTCGGAAAAGTTTGCGGAGGAAGGGAGATGTCGCTGGAATTCACGGCGGATGGGGGAAGAAGAGAAACCACATGGTTGTAATGACGGAAGGTGTACGCCGCAGAAAATCGCATGACAGAATGGGAGTTACCGGTGGAGGTTCACCGCGAAGGAGGGAGACGTCTGGCTGGAAGGAACAATGGCCGATGGCACGCAGAGCTAGGGAGTGGAGAGAGAGCATGCAGAAATGCTTGATGAAGATGAAGTTTGATGGAGTTTTATTGATTTTTGTTGAAGGTATTCTTGATGAAATTAGAGAGAAAGTTTAGAGGATTTGAGAGAAAATGTGAGTTTGATTTCTAAGATGTGAATTTATGAGAGTAAGATGGGGAAGTGTCCCCCGCCCCCCCTTGACATCCCTACACACGGTACTAGTGTCGTACGTACACATTTGTTTTTAAAATATAATAAAAATGTAAATAAGAAAAACAAAATAGTTTTATCAAAGTAGTTTCTTATTTTTAAAGAAAGACATATTTTTAAAATACTAATAAAATTGTATCAATTTTTCAATTTTTAAGACATCAACAATATATATTTTAAATATTCATATATTACTTGTGTATTACCCATGCGAAAGCACGTGTGTGCTACACATATTTTTGTTCTTTTATAATATAATAAAATAATATAAAAAGTGTAATGAAAAAACAACAAAATTTCCTAATTAAATAGTTTATTATTTTTAAAATGTAAAATAATTTATTTACCAAAATCGTGATGTGTTATTCACTATTTTGTTTTCAAAATGTAATAAAAATATAAATAAAAAATATAATTATTTAACTAAAGTAATTTATTATAAAAATATTTGAATCAATAATATATTTATTTATATGTATAAAAATATTTAGAACAACATTAAGTTTGTTAATTTTACATATTTCCCTGTAACCAAATATCAATTAAATAAATATTAAAAAAATATCCTAAAAAATAGAATAAAAATTACTTTGGCAATTACTAAAAAAAACATTCTAAATTTTATATTAATATAGGATGATTATGAACTTTTTTAATCAAATTATAATTTAATTTTAAAATGAGAAATTAAATATAAATTATTTATATAGAAAATGAAAATCAAAAGCAAAAGTTAATAATTATAGATTAGTGAAAGAAATCAAAGTTTATTCGTTACTGTTAATACTATTTTCGGAAGTATATATATATATATATATATATATATATATATATATATATATATATATATATATATATATATATATATATATATATATATATATATATATATATATATATATATATATATATATATATATATATATATATATATATATATATATATATATATATATATATATATATATATATATATATATATATATATATATATATATATATATATATATTGCAATATTGCAATATTTCTTTCCTAAACAGCTAAACTAATTAAAGAAATGCATCTGTCATGGGTTTGTCACATGGAATGAAAAAAGATACTATTTCGTTTTACTAATATAGAATTAAATATTTGTTTCCTAATAGCTAAAGTAATGCATTTTACTGATTCAATGCAAGCTATTGTAATTGTTGGAGTACGGGAAAATCTATAGAATGCAATATTTCTCTTTCCTAAACAGCTAAACTAATTAAAGAAATGCAACTGTCATGGGTTTGTCACATGGAATGAAAAAAGATATTTCATTTTACTATTAGAACAAATAGAATTAAATATTTGTTTCCTAATAGTTAAAGTACTGCATTTTACTGATTCAATACAATCTATTGTAATTGTTGGAGTATGGGAAAATATATATAATGCAATATTTCTTTCCTAAACAGCTAAACTAATTAAGGAAATGCAACTGTCATGGGTTTGTCACATGGAATGAAAAAAAGCGCTACGTCAAAAATAAGTTTTAGCAGCACATAAAAGAAAGCGTTTTTGGAAAAAAGCGCTGCTGTAGGTTTTAAAAAAAATTCGCTTAAAAAAGCGCTTTCAAAGGGTGCCTTAAAAAAGCGCTTTTCAAAAGCGCTGCTAAAGGTCACCCTTAGAAAGCGCTTTTTGGGAAGCGCTGCTAAAGCTGGACTTTCAGAGGGTACTTTAAGAAAGCGCTTTTCAAAAGCGCTGCTAAAGGTCAGCCTTAGAAAGCGATTTTCCAAAGCGCTGCTAAAGCTGGTCTTTAGAAAGCGCTTTTAAAAGCGCTGCTATAGGATATGCTACGAAAGCGCTTTTTAATGTAAAAGCGTTGTTATAGATGACCTTTAGAAAGCGCTTTTAAAAGCGCTTTCGTAGATAGTTTTATAATAAATATCAAAAATTCGTATCATCACTTTTCTATTTTTCTTCACGATCAAAACCCTAAACCAGAGCTCACGATCAAAACCCTAAATCAGATTTTCTTCACGATCAAGCCCATCCTCTACGTCTTCTTGTTTCAGGACTACCGGGGCAGTTTCAAGACTTCTTCAGGACCTCTACCTCGTTGCCTCCTTTAGCATCTGCAGAGAGAACAACAGGACGTGGAACAACATGACTTCTTCAAGACTACCGCTTGATTTGTAGAAAAGAAAACAACAAGACTACCGCTTGCCACAGGAGAACCGCAAGGTGAAATCACAAAGTTTGCTGCATCAGAAATCACAACAATATACAACACAAAGTTACACAACTCAGCTCCAGGTATTTCAATTTCTAGTATAGTTTTGTATGAATAAATTGTTCTATGCTTGCTTTAATTCTAATTTATTATATTTACATACAATTAATTTGCTTCCTTACGTGATGTTCTAATCCGATTAAATTCTATGGTCTTGATATTAATAGAAAATAACACATTTTCAAACCGATGTCTCCCCAAGGTCCCAACTAAGTAAAAAAATTGAAGTTCCTCTGTCCAATTATTTTATCAAACATCATTTATATTAACAAGTTGTGCATTGGTAAAACAAGCTAAGAGAGAAATAATAGAGAGCGTAACAAAATATTTAATAAAGGTAGCCATATTGTTAACTCTATTAATATATTGGTTTTTTTGTGTGCTTTTTATGATGGATTTTGAGCAATGATGGTTTCTTGTTTATGTTATATGGTTGTGCAAGAGCAAGTGCAAGTTTTGAGTATTGGTTTTGTTTTCGAATTTATCATTTAGCTCAGATTGACTCAGAAACCGTAAACCATGGATAAGACATGGATGTATTCCAATCGATTATCGAAAGAGTACGAGAACGGGGTATCGGAATTCGTTAACTTTGTTGTTGCGTACGCCGAAGACCCCAGTCAAATGACATGTCCTTGTTTGTGTTGCTGTTATGGGAATCGGGTTGATGGGGTTCAGTTGGCATCACATTTAATACGGTATGGAATTGATAGAAGTTAAACATGTTGGAATATGCATGGTGAGAAAAGTGACAGGAATGATGAATCGGGGGATAATAGGACCTATGCTTCAAACGACAATGGCACAGATACATACGATTATGATCGAGTTGAAGAGATTTCAGAAGCACTTGAAGAAGATCTTAATGATTGTCCCAAAATGTTCGAGAGGTTGGTAAGCGATGCAGAGAAACCGTTGTATAATGGTTGTACAAAATTCACAAGATTGTTTGCGGTATTAAAGTTGTACAACTTAAAGGCGGGCAATGGATGGTCGAATAAAAGTTTCACAGAGTTATTAGCCCTTATGAAAGATATGCTACCAGAGGATAATGTTCTCCCCAATCGAACGTATGAGGCCAAAAAGATGTTGTACTCTATTGGCATGAGCTATGACAAGATACATGCCTGTCCAAAAGATTGTGTTTTGTTTCGAAACGAGTATGCATCGTTAAATGAGTGTCCTAAACGTGGTGCCCCCTCGATATAAGAAAAAGTTGTCTCCGACAAAAGTCTTATGGTATTTTCCTATAATTCCGAGATTTAGATGTATGTATCGTAGTGAAATCGATTCAAGACACTTAATTTGGCATGCAGATGAAAGAATTGTTGATGGAAAGTTTTGACATCCGGCAGATTCACCACAGTGGATGAAAATTGATAATGATTATCCTGAATTTGGAAAAGAAGCAAGAAACCTTCGCTTGGCATTGTCTACTGATGGAATGAACCCACACGGTATTCAAAGTATCTCGCATAGCACATGGCCTGTGATTCTTATGATTTATAACCTACCTCCGTGGCTATGTATGAAGCATAAGTACATGATATTATCTATGTTAATTTCTGGGCCTAAACAACCAGGAAATAACATAGACGTATATTTGGAACCTTTAATCGAAGATTTTGTGGGAGAACGGTGTGGAGGTTTATGATGGGTATAGGAAAGAAAGTTTCAACTTGAGGGCGATGTTGTTTGGAACAATTAACGATTTTCCAGCCTACGGAAATCTAACCGGGTATAGCATTAAAGGTGAAAAAGCGTATCCTATCTGTGAAGATGGAACCGATACGATGCGATTGAAACTTTGTCATAAAAATGTCTTTCTCGGTCATCGTAGATTCTTAAATTCTAAACATCAATATCGTGGATGGAGAAAAACGTTCAACGGAGATACCGAACAACGTAGAGCTCCGCCTGGATTGACAGGTGATCAAATATTTGAAAAGGTGAAAGATGTGAGTATTCAGTTTGGTAAGCCTTTTGCACATAAAGTTGTCATAGGTGGGTGGAAGAAGAGGTGGATTTTTTTTAAATTGCCATATTGGAAATCTTTGTACGTAAGACATTTTCTTGATGTTATGCATATTGAAAAAATGCATTTGACAGTGTTATTGGTACATTACTCAATATAAAAGGGAAGTCTAAGGATGGTCTTAAAGCAAGGGAGGACATGGTAGAGATGGGAATAAGAAATGAATTGGGACCCGTGAAAAAAGGAAGACGAACATATCTACCACCTGCTATTTACACTCTATCCAGAAAGGAGAAAAAAATATTGTGTAAGTTCCTAAGTGAGGTTAAAGTTCCAGAAGGCTACTCATCAGATATTAGAAGACTTGTGTCTATGCAAGACCTCAAGTTAAAGAGTTTAAAGACGCATGATTGCCATGTTATAATGGAACATTTTCTACCGATAGGTATACGTTCTATTCTTCCAGAAAAAGTAAGAAGTGCAATAACTAAACTGTGTTTTTTCTTCAAGTCAATTTGCAGCAAGGTGATCGATCCTGAGATCTTACCAACATTGCAAAAAGAAATAGTTGTTACTTTGTGTGATCTTGAAATGTATTTCCCTCCCTCGTTTTTTGACATAATGGTTCATCTTGTCGTTCATCTTGTCAAAGAGACACAACTGTGCGGACCAAATTATATGAGATTGATGTACCCTACTGAACGTTATATGAAAATATTAAAAGGGTATGTGAAAAACCGAAGTCGACCAGAGGGTTGTATTGCTGAACGATATATTGTTGAAGAAGCGGTTGAGTTTTGTACTGAATATCTGTCAAATGTTCAATCAATTGGACTCCCCAAATCTCATGTTGTTGAAAAAAAGAAGGTAAGAAACTAATTGGAAATAAAGTTGTGACAATATCAATGGTCGAACGGGATCAAGTGTATTTGTATGTTCTGCATAATGAACTTGAAGTTGAGCCGTATGTTGAAATGCACAAGGGTGTTCTTCGAGGTTTAAATCTGAATAGAAATGAGAATTGGATTGTACGAGAGCACAATCGAATTTTCATACCATGGTTTAAGGAACATATTTATTCAAAGTATCATTCAGATCTTGCTTCAGTAACAGAAAGATTGAGATGTTTAGCATACGGTCCAAGTTTAGTTGTGTTTTCTTATAGCGCATATGCAATTAATGGATACACATTTTATACCAAAGAACAGGATGACAAAAGTACTATGCAAAATAGTGGTGTCACCTTGATCGCTGAAGCAATGCATATATCAAGTGTGAAGGACTTAAACCCAAAATTTGCAAATTTGTCATATTTTGGGGTTATCGAGCGCATTTGGGTGTTTGATTACGAGAAGTTTCAGATTCCTATATTTGGTTGCAAATGGGTTGAAAATAATAATGGCATACGAATGGATAAGTCAGGTTTTTTGCAAGTGGATTTTAATAGGGTGTGGTACAAAGATGAGCCTTTCATTCTAGCCTCTCAAGCTAAACAAGTGTTCTATGTCAATGATCTGACAAGTACGAAATGGTCTACAATGCTATTATCTAACAAAGTAATTGATTAAAGCATTGGAGATCAAAGTGATATTGGTGTTGACATTGAATCTTTAACCATAACTGATCAAAATGATAATGAATCATGTATTAGAAATGATCATAATGAGGGTATTTGGATCAATCCAACTATCCGCGTTGTTAAGAGACGAGTAGAACACATTCCTACCAAGAAAAGAAAGAGACCTTAGTGAAAAGGGTAATAGTATATATAATTATAGCCTATATCATTCAATAAAATTTAATTTGTCATTTCATTTTTATTTGTCATTTCATTTTTATTTGTCATTTCATTTTTATTTGTCATTTCATTTTTCTATTTGTCATTTCATTTTTATTTGTCATTTCATTTTTATATTTGTCATTTCATTTTTATTTTTTTTCATTATTACAGGTCAAATGGCTAGTAATCAAGAAAACTCACAAGATGCAAATGCTCTTGAAAATGCTCCAGAAAATACTTCAGAAAAGACTTCAGAAAAAGATATTACACGAGGTATAACTATTATGAGGGGAATCATCCGTGATAGAGATAGAGGAGTAACATATAATGTAGATTGGAATGATAATGACCAACTAATTGGGTCTAATTCTGCAAAGTTGATAAGCTATATTGGTACGCTTGTTCGTATACACATTCTGATCACCACTCCTAGATGGAAAAGAGGAGAGTTGGATGAGGGTAAAGAGAAAGTTTGGACTGAGATATAGGTACATATATGGTTTTTGTTATTTTCTTTATCTTGACGATAATATGTGTTTAAATTGCTTTTACTAACACACTTTATGCGTATGTTTTTTTGTATAGGTCTTTCAACATTGAAGATACCCGTAAAAAGTATATAATGGGTTTGGCTGGAAAAAGACACAGAGGGTGGAGAACATTTTTAACAAACAAGTATCTTAAAGATGATGAAGGAAATTTTCTTGAAGAGGATCCGGAACTTCCAAAGAAATATGAGAACTTAATTACACCTGAAGAATGGGTTGGTTTTGCAGGCCAAAGAAGAGACGAGAATTTCAAGAAAGTGAGTGCCATCAATTGCGAGAGAGCGTTAAAACCCGCATATCCATACAAAAAAGGGCGTTTGGGATATGCTCGCTTAGAGGAAAAAATTGTAAGTAAATATAAACTCTACGATCTTATTAATTCTCTCAATGTGTTATAATTGATTATCTTAAGACTTGTGTCAATGCGTAGTTAGAAGAGACGAAAAGTGACGCAACATCACTACCAGCACATTTGTTGTGGAAGGAAGCTCGTGTGGGCAAGGATCAAGTTGTTAATCCCGATATTCAACATGTGTATGATGAATGTGTTAGTATAAGATTGTGTCTCAAATTT